GACTTCACTCGCTGGTGACGAGAACCACAAGTGACTCCAACCCAACGACAAACATTAATAGCGGGAGACCAACTTTCATCCAAGTAATGAAAAGGGTCTGAACTAATTTGGGATTTCAAAGAGAGAAGAGCTAATTGATCAGTCGTAATGTTGGTTTGGGTCATAACATAGTGAAGCAACAAGAGTATTGTCAAGAGGAAAAATGTGAAGGCTTTCTCCATTAGTGCAAATATTAATAGAAAAATGATATCGCTAGTAACATGTGGTATTGAGGCTTTAAATAGCAATGGGATCAACATGATTATTTTTCTTAAAAAAAAATAAAATTACTTTTATTTATTCATATCAATACTAATACTACCTAATCTGAATAGAAGCGAGTAGACAAAATACCAAAGGGGTTCAAGGATATACAATAACGCCGAATTGAAGTCGAGTTTCAGCTCCGATTTGATGATGTATCGAGGAAGAGACGCTGCACCTGCAAATACTCTTCAACTTCCACTTTCCTAATTTTGTTTTTTGATATTTCTTAGTTGGTAGGTGTTGTCTTTTATTGTTTTGTTTATTTATTTGGTGGGCTGTTCACTTAGGCAACCCACATGATTTTGTATATATTTTCTTTTAGTTTAATAAAATTCTTGACCCATGTGGTCTTTGATTTAAAAAAAAAAAAAAAACCTAATCAATCAGAAATGCAAAATGGTGCAAAAATTCTCCTAATCATCCAAAGACTTGTGCAAGTCAACTAAGTCTCTTATTTTCTCTATAATTGGTGGCAAAATTATTCCTCTAATCAGTCCAAAGACTTCCCAAGTTGCCTTCTACTAAATTATTGTTTTAGGAAAAATTTCCAAGTTACGTGGGTCCTAAAGATTTGACAAACTGAAGAAGACCAAAATCAACCAAGTCTTGCAAACGTAAATGTGGGGGCAAAGATATACATCTAATTAACTGGTTCAAAAGATGCTCAAAGTTATATTTAATGGGCATAATATATAAACATGACTCTTAACTTAACTTCAGCTACAACTATGTTCTTTAACTTTGGGTGTGCGCAACTAGTCACTTAAATTTGTATAAAATTAAACAAATGAACACATTTGTCCTACGTAATGACAATTTTGTATCCTACATGGCATCCTATGTGTATTATGTCACTTAGGACATATGTGTCTACTTCTTCAATTTTACACAAGTTTAAGTGTCTACCTAAGCACACCCAAAATTGGAGAACATAGATGTCAGTTGGAAATTTGAGGC